GGCTCGGCGTCCGGGTACAGCGAGGCCAGGGGCAGCGGCGCGCGCGAGGGCAGGCTCTGCACGTAGGAGCGCACCCGCTCCGCGCCGATGGCCCCGATCACGCCCTCGGGCGGGGTGCCCAGCACCGACAGGATCAGCTGCAGCTGGTGCACGTAGTTCTTGCCCGGGAAGAGCTGGCGGCGGCCCAGCATCTCGGCGAAGATGCAGCCCACCGACCACATGTCGATGGCCAGGCTGTAGTGGTGCAGGGACAGCATGAGCTCGGGCGCGCGGTACCAGCGCGTGGCCACGTACTCCGTCATGAAGGAGCGGGACTCGTCGGCCCGCGCGCTCAGGCCCCGCGCCATGCCGAAGTCGCCGATCTTCAGCTCGCAGGTCTCGTTGACCAGCAGGTTGGAGGGCTTGAGGTCGCGGTGGATGACGTTGGCCGAGTGCACGTACTTGAGCCCGCGCAGCAGCTGGTACAGGAAGTAGCGCGTGTGCTCGGCCGTCAGGGGCTGCTGGGAGTGGATGATCTGGTGCAGGTCGCTCTCCATCAGGTCCAGCACCACGTAGCTGAGAGAGGGGAGGGGAGAGGATAGACAGGGGGACAGAGAGGAGAGAGACAGGGGGAGAGACAGGGGGAGAGAGAGAGGAGGACAGAGAGAGGAGAGGGGAAGGGAGGGGAGGAGAGAGATAGGGGGAGAGAGGAGAGACGGAGTTGATAGGGGAGAGACGGGGGAGAGAGAGAGGAGAACAGAGGGAGGAGAGGGGAGAATGAGAAAGGAGAGGAGGGAGATGGGAGAGAGAGAAAGGAGGGGAGGAGAGAATGAGCACGGAGAGGGAGGGGAAGGGAGAGGGAGAGAGGAGGCAGAAACACGGGCACAGGTGTTAGTGCAAGGAAACAGAAGAAGGGGTTCACTCAGTCCGACGCTCTGAGGATCTCGTCCAACTCGAGTCTTGAAAGAAACCGGGTGTCAGTGTCAATATGAGGCCACACACACACTCACCCACGAACTAACCAACTAACACACACACACTCTCACTCACCCACCCACGAACTAACCAACTAATTAACTAACACACACGCAAACTAACACAAGGTATGCGTGGCACAGAAACACACGAGACACGTCCGCACACGCACACAAGGAACATGTGGCACAGAAACACACGAGGCACGCGCGCGCACGCACACAAGG